GGTCGGGCGAGCCTGGCCGACGTGCAATCGGCGGCGGTATATTCGCGGTTCGCGGCAGTCGGTGGTACCTCCGGTGAGGTGCGGAGAGACGCGCGTCATCTCTAAATTCGCGGCGGTACGCGGAACGATACTCCGGGATATTCGCGTGCCCCGGAGGTGCAAGACCCGATGACAAAAGTGGAGTGGCCGAGGTCGAGAAAACTCCACAGAGGCGGCGAACACACCACTCTTACTCGTCCCGATCCCCAGGACCGCCACGAGCGAGAGGGCCTGGAACTCCCGGTGGAGACGGCAAAAACACCGTCCCGAAAAGGTAGTTAGAATTCCGGTGCCCGCGACTTCCACGGTAGAGACAGCGAATACACTACCTCGGTCTTGCCGGACGGAAAGGATGTCGAGTTCGGCTGCAAACACACAGCTGTGACGGCGTACACACCGTCGCGGTCCTTCGACCTGGAGATCGGGATCCGGAGCAGTTTACGATCTTTCGATCCGGCTGACTCCATTGAAATCGGCGCTCTAGTCACGGAGGAGCGGCCTTTTATACTGCTCCTGCCGTGTTTTCGACACGTGGTTGTTTTTTAACAACAACAGTTGTGTTAGCGTGTACACGCGTTGTTCGTGTGCGCCGCGTGATAAGAGTTTTGTATGGCGCTAAGCGCCGTTTAACGGCCGACAGATGATTGGTCGGCCGCGGTGTTCGCCGGGGGGATGCCTCGTTACATACGACTTTAATAATGGACCAAATTATGAGGTGGTAAACTTAGTTCCTGCGGCTCACAGTTAGATGACTTTAGTTGTAGGTGTAATTTATTTTGACATCTGAAACTGGCTGCATTTTAGAGGTTAGACATTTGTCAATAAAATTCAGTGCGAAGAGATTCATTTAAGCGAGCAGTGCTATTTTTTCTTTTGATTAAATATGGAACGCGATAAGTTGTTTTTTCGACATGTGCTGCTTCATTACTTTGACTTGAAAAAAACTGCAGCTGCAGCTCATAAATTGTTTTTCGAAGCTTATGGCAATTATGCTCCATCGGAAAGAACATGCCAAGTATGGTTTCAGCGATTTAAGATTGGTGATTTTGATGTCAATGATAAAGAACGCTCAGGCCAACCGAAAAAGTTTGAAGACACCGATTTGCAGGCATTATTGGACGAAAACTCTACTCAAACGCTCCAAGAATTGTCTGCAGCATTAAATGTTACTCCGATGGCTGTTTCCAAACGTCTACATGCAATGGGAAAAATTCAAAAGGAGGGAAAATGGGTACCACACGAATTAACCGCAAATGCCATTGCGAATCGCTTAAACATCTCTATTTCTCTGCTCGCCAGGTAGAAAAAGAGTTTTTTGTGGCGCATAGTGACTGGCGATGAAAAATGGATATACCTCAATAATCCTAAACGAAGAAAATCATGGGTAGACCCTGGCCAACCATCGACATCCACACCAAAAAGAAATATTCATGGCCACAAAGCAATGCTTTGCATTTGGTGGGATATGCACGGCGTCGTTTATTATGAGCTATTGAGATCGAACGAAAGTATCACGGGGGATCGATATCAATGACAATTAAACCGTCTGAATGAAGCATTGTTGGAAAAAAGGCCAGCAGTAGCCAGCAATCGACGTAAAGTCATGCTTTTGCATGACAACGCTCGACCACACGTTGCCAAAGCCGTCAAAGAAACACTGATGCAGCTCGAGTGGGAAGTTCTCCCGCATCCAGCGTATTCACCAGACTTAGCTCCTTCGGACTATTACTTGTTCCGGTCAACGCAGCACGGCTTGGTGGATACACACTTCAGAAATTACGAGGATGTGCGAAAATGGATCGACGAATGGACCAATGACGAATGGATCAAAAGACCAATCGTTCTATTGTCGCGGAATCTACGCGTTGCCCGAAAGATGGGAAAAATGTATAGCTAGCGAGGGAAAATACTTCGATTAATGTATTTTTTGCTTTTGATATCGAAATAAATGAGTTTTTTAAACAAAAAACCGCAAAAACTAAGTTTACCATCTAATAGTTTTCTCATACACAAATGTTTGTGTAGGATATTAAACACACATTCAGATGAGATTCCTACAGCCCCAGCTAGTTCACGCAATTTCATTTTAAGGTCATCCAATACGATGTAATAAATTTTTTCATTCATTTCTGGTGTAGTCACCTCATTTGGACGACCACTACGTCGTGCATCCGATGTGCTAGTACGACCATGTTTAAACTCAGCAATCCAGTTGAATACGGTTGCATTCGATGGAGCAGACTCTTCCAAAGTCTTTTGGAAGTCCTCAATCATTTCTTGCGTTTACAAGCCTTTCAAATTGAAATATTTAATTACTGCACAAATTTCAATTTATTTTTATTTTTACAAAATATTAAAGGTTAAGTGCTTTCGGTCGCTGTCACAAATATACTGATTGTCACAGCTGTCTGCAAATGTGTATTGAGAGGTTTAAAGGTTAGCACTATTGGAAATTTACGGGGCATTGAAGGTGGCAATACCACTAATGTGTCATTCTAAAGACTTATCAATCAACTTGATATTATTTTCTTAATGTAATATGATGAATTTTTGGGAGTATAGAGTTTTAAAACATGAGCATTGCATTGCAGACAATGCACTGTCTGCTATGCTACCGGTCCCGGGTTCGATCACGGTAGAAACCAAAAATAATTTCGTCTGTGTCCCCTCTCGGAAAGAAGTGGCAAATCTACCGAGAGTATTTTTGCCAGGAGAACCGCTCTAAATAATATGCCGTTCGAAACCGGCGTTAAACTGTAGGTCCCATATGCCTGTATATTATTTGCGTACACACCACAGGCATATGAGAGAGGTTACCATATCCAGATATGGGCAATAGGATTGAGGAAAGAAGAGAGTTTTAAAAAGCATATAACTTACATTATAGCAAACTACTTGTACTACTTATATGCATTCTACTTGTAATAATTTAGGTTGTTAATAAAAACGGCCAATTGCCTTTAGCGCAGTTGGGTTGGTTCGTTGCAATAATTTTATATATGTTATTGCATATGTGTTTATATTGTGTCGTTGGTGAAATTCTCGTAGCACAAGTAAGTAAAATAATATATAAAAAGCTTAACAAGAGTAAAAGCTGTGTTTATTATCCATTTCTTTAACTATACGTATATATTTCTTAACTTTTCTGCGTCGCCGGAAAAATTAAATTATTATATATTAGATTCCAAATCTGACATTTACATTATTGGCATAAATTTATTAAAAGATTGATTTTTAAAATCAGATTGCATATATAAAAAACATTTTTTCAGTCTGAAAATATACACCGAGCGACTTATGAATATGCGTGGTATACTATAGATCCAAAGGGAGCGAAGAACTTATTGTTAATTATGCTTCGTTCAAATAAACCACTTTACGAGGGCGGTTCAATAAGTACCCGTGTTAGAAATGAAGACATTTTTTCAAAAAAAATTTTTTTTTTTTCAACATAGTCCCCTTTTAGAAAGATACACTTCTCCCAACGTTCCTGCCATTTTTTTAACCCCTCCAAAAAATAGGATTTGTCGAACTCTCCAAAATACGCCTCTGTCTCAGAGAAACCCNTTTTTTTTTTTTTTCAACATAGTCCCCTTTTAGAAAGATACACTTCTCTTAACGTTCCTACCATTTTTTTAACACCTCCAAAAAATAGGATTTGTCGAACTCCAAAATATGCCTCTGTCTCGGCGATGACTTTCTCGTTTGAGCTAAATTTTTTTCCCGCGAGCCATTTCTTCATGTTAGGGAGCAAGAAAAAGTCGCAGGGAGCCAGATCGGGTGAATACGGGGGGTGCGGCAGCATTTCATAACGCAATTCATGCATTTGCCGGCGACAACCCTGGATGAATGTGCTTTCCACCGTGAGCAATCGCGGCACCCATCTGGCCGACAATTTTTTCATCGCCAACTTATCATGTAAAATATTAATTGCCGTTCCGGTCGACACACCAACGACCTTTGCTACTTCGCGCACTTTCGTTCGTCGATCAGCGAGAATCATGTCGTGGATTTATTCAATGATTTCCTCGGTAACCACGTCTGCCGGGCGTCCTGGTCGCTCCTCATCAAAAACGGATGTTCGCCCACGTTTAAATTCGTTGAACCAATATCTAACTGTGGTCATAGATGGCGAAGTGCCCCCATAAACAGCATCCAACTTTGCTTTTATCTCCTCGCATTTTTTCCCATCCAAAATCAAAAAGCGAATTACCGAACGATACTGCTCTTTTTCCATCTTAGCGAAAATTACGAAACACGTCTTATTCGAATGGCTGCCAAATCCAAACTAAGCTATCAATCAGTCTACAATTTGTTTTGCCGTCGTTTAATAGATGACAGCACACGATGATAACACCAACTTCCCTCAGGAACGCCCTCAGTCGTCTAACACGGGTACTTATTGAACCGCCCTCGTATATTACGGCTGGAAAAACATTTCCCATTACGATGGCGACCTTATGCAATGTAAGTTATGTATGATGCAAGAAATGTGTTCTTTTGTTTTCCATATCAATCGGAATTATTTTAATAATCATGTAGTTTAATTATTTTATGATCTATGTCAAATCGAAAATTAATAAATATAAAATGTTTTAACGAGATTGTCTTATGCTTGCAATATAATCACTATAATAAATATATTTAGTAAACATATTTTGCGTAAATATTTACTCACTATTTTTATTTGCCATTAAAAAAAATGTTGCAGTTGCTGAAAACATCAGCAGGTTACATATCTGTCTTACTTGCGAATCAAGACAAAGTTATTAATTCATAGCTTAGCAGATTTAATAACAATAGTATAATAAACATATATATATATATATAATTGTCATGACAGATAATAAATATATGTATGGTATTATAAAATATTATACGCTAAGATAAAAAAGAAAATATATTAAAAAAGGGAAACAATTGGGCCATTAACATTTCAAAGTTTGTTCTCCCCTTGAAACTGTAGCGTTATTTAAGTTAATAAAATTCTGCCCTATTCAACAGCATTTTATCAAGGAAAATTAATATTGATACAAAAACATTTAAGATCCCATTTCATACACAACTTTTATGCTCGTTCTTGGTGTCAAAATAGATCGTGACCTGAATTGTCGCTGAATAATAAAATACATATAAAAGGGCACAACATCGAAATTTAAGTATTAAAATCGCCGCATCAGTATTGTATTTATCAATATTTGGTCAATATCCCGTTGTCTGCATATAAAAATTACATGTGATTAAAGGTGCTTACACAATGACAGGTAATAAGCAACAGGAACAGAAAATAAAACATGCAACAGATTTCCAAATTATCCGTAACCATGTTTCAAATGTTCTTTATTTATTATGGTTGATAATACGGTTTCTGAGTACCGACTGATGCGAAAATGAAAAAGCGACGTCGGTAGGAAAGGGAAATAGAAGGAGAAGGAGAGGGGATTGCAAGTATAGTTAATCGCTATGATTGGAACAATTCTTAGATAGCCATAGTTAATCTTAGTGATTGGATGTTCGACTTCCTCCGTTTCAGCCTTTATGTGGAAACGCGAGTGAATGAAGTTAATGCATGAGAGTTTTTGTTTTATTATACCAGGTGTAGAAGTATGAAACCGGAATTTTTTTGTAAAAATTA